GAGAGAGAGAGAGAGAGTGTGTGTGTGTGTGTGTGTGTGCGTGCACACGAGCGAGGGAGAAGGGCAGAGGAAGACAGAGAGAATCGTAAGCAGGCTCCACAGTCAGCATGGAGCCTGATGAGGGGCTCAATCCCTTGACCTTGGGATCACCACCTGAGCCAAAATCAAGCATCAGATGCTCAATGAGCCGAGCCAGCCAGGCACCCCTTGTTTTGTTTTCTATGAAAACGTTAAGTTCCATGTTTTTCAGCCCTGAACTTCCAGCATCTAGCACAATGTCTGACACATAATGCGTAATTAATAAGTGTTTTAACAAACTGTGTCCAAAGCTTCTTGGAAAACGTAAGTGCAGGAAAATAATAGCTCTGCTACAGAGCAGAGCCGACCATCACCACCCTTGTCACGTAACTGCTTTGGATTGAAGCAAAAATAATGCTTTTATTGCCTTTTATAAAATAAAAGTTCATATAATCAAACAGTACTTGAGTTCCTGCTATCTGTTTGACATTATGCTACATGCCAGAGGCATTTTAATAAGTGATCCCTCATCTCCAAAAATTGAGTCTGATAGAGCAGGGAGTGGTTCTCAATGTCTGGTAGGGGTCCCCAGGACCCTTTCAAGGGATCAGAACTATAGTAAACAGTATTTATCTTTTTCATTTGCACAGTCTTTCACAAGCAGAGAGCGGAGCTTCCCAGGGGCCACAGGATGCGTGATGAAGGGCAGTGGGCTGTGTGCTTGTGTGTTAATGCGCCCTAAAATTTCCTCTGTTTTAAATTCTAGTTCAGTAGGGGCGCCTGGGTGGCTCAGTCTGTTAAGCGTCCCACTTCGGCTCAGGTCATGATCTCACGGTCTGTGAGTTCGAGCCCCGCATCGGGCTCTGTGCTGACTGCTCAGAGCCTGGAGCCTGTTTCAGATTCTGTGTCTCCCTCTCTCTCTGACCCTCCCCCGTTCATGCTCTCTGTCTCAAAAATAAATAAACGTTAAAAAAAATAAATAAATTCTAGTTCAGTAAATATAAGTTAACTGTAACCCACACAAACAAAACCCTTTGGGGTCTTCCATAATTTTTAAGGGCGTAAAGAGATTCTGAGACCAAAAAGTTGAAAGGACTATTGCGACACAGGCCGTTAGCAACAAGGGCTAGCTGTGGATGACAACGGAGACTAAAATGTGAGGTTTGCGGTCCAATCAAAAGGTTGAGAAGGGCCTTTGATCAAGAGGCAACAGGGTGGGCAGGTGGAAGAAGGGTGTGAGAAGGGTGTGAGCGAGGGGCAGCCCTGGCACAGGCCCTCTGGGAGTGCACCCATGGCGTGCTCAAAGCCCTGGAGAGGCAGGCCCACCTCCTCTCAAGGACACACACTTCCTTCCCTTTCATACTCAATATGAGCGGCTGATCAGCAGTCTAATAAAAGCCAGGGCATTACTTGGACCAGACAGGAAACCGTATGGCAGTCTCTCTCAAGTCTAAGGTTTAAAACTCCGTCTAAGTTGGCAATAACTGTAAAGTTTGGCGTAGGGGTTAAAACGTCTGTTTCCTGACTTGGGGTGGAGAGGGGAAGGAAAGGAGAAACCGCTGCAAGGCAGAAAAGGGCGGGAAAATAAAGCACCAAAGAAAGAAAGAGCGGGCTTGGGGGAGGGGAAAGACACAGCTCAAGAAGCCAATGAATGAGACCGAGGCTGCCGCACGTACCCTAGCCGCCCGCCTGCGCAGGCGTACGTCGGGTGATCTCGCGGGAAAGAACCGTTGCCGGTCCAGGCGTTGCGCCCAGGTTGGGGGGGGGGGGGGGGGGTGGAGGCGGGAGTGAAGTCTCGCGAGAAGAGGAGGTTTCGTAGCGGAGCCCTCTGGCTGAGCGTCTGAGGATCCGCCGCCGGATCCGCGGACGGTTTAGTGAGCCCGTTAGTGCCCCTGCCGAGACTCACGTCGCCGTCATGTCCCGCTACCTGCGCCCCCCCAACACGTCTCTGTTCGTAAGGAACGTGGCCGACGATACCAGGTATGTACGAGGAGGTACTCCGGGCCTAGCCCGGGAGGCCGCAGGCGCTTGGGGAGGACCCGTGCGGCGGCGGCGGCGCGCTGGGCCGGGGGAGGGGAAGCGCGAAGATGGCGGGTCCCGCGCGGGCTTTCGGGCCCAACTAGGCCGCGTCGCCGGCTCAACCGCCTCGTGGGAGCGAGGGCGGCGCCCCTGGTCCTCCCAGGCAGCCGCCGGGAACGCGGACCGCGTGGCGCGAGTTCGGTGCCCCTCCCCCTCCGCAGCTCGGCCTCTCTTCCTCCCCGCTTCCTTTCGGCGCGTCCAGCCCCCGCCGCGGCCGAACATCCGCTCCCCATGGATTTGAAGTTCACGTTCCTTGGGGTACACGCCCCCTCGGCCCAGAGATTTTTTTTTTTCCCCCGTAGTTAAAAAATCGCAGCGAAATAACGGGATCGGGGGAGGGGCGTTATGGCGAAGCATTCGGTACCCCTTTTTTGTCGTGTTACGTTTGTGATTTTTTAAAACATTGGAGATGTTTAGAGAAAGAGAATGTCGAAAATTGGGAGGTAAAATTATTCCAGTTGACCTTGCGAACTAGCTCTTCTCATTTCCCGGAAATATAACTGGTCACCCTTCGAGAAGTGAGGTTTAGGAAGCATCTACCATTTGGGCCTTGATAAGCTAAATTGGATTAATCCAGTCCGTGCCTTTGTTCTCACCAATTCCCTTAATTGCTTGTAGTTGCCGTCAGAATTTTTTGGAACAGATCTTATCACAAGGAGAGACTGCGTTTTCACAATCACTCTGACACCCCCCACCCCCAGAAGTCAGTTTTATTTTGGTAGCCTTGTGATTTACATTATTCTGTCCTAACTTTAAGTAGGAAAGTAAGCAGTATTCTAGCGTCCAGAAAAATTCTTCCTTAGGTCATTTTGACCTTTATTATTTAAGGAGTTACATATATTTTTGTGCCTTTTATTTTTCCAACTTTTGTCTACCTCCTAGTAAGTGTCTAACCCTGTCTCTATAATTTTGGGGATGAAAGTGATTGGTATTTTTCAGACTACTAATGTTGGTTTGATAGTGTTAAAAAAAAAACAAAACACTGATACTTAATACAACTTAATGTTACTGTACCCTCTACGAAAAATTAAAAGATGTGGTTAGAAACAATAGGTAAACTGTGACCAAGTTTCCTTAGATGTGTTTTCCTGTTATAATGTAAAATAGTAATGGGTTTTATTACAAACTGCATTATCTTCCAGAATCTTGGATCTTAGCTTTCCTTTGTTTTTTGTATGTTCTTAAAGTTGGCTCTTGATGTTGAGATTTAGAAAGCTTGTCTGTTTCAGGTAACCCAGGGATACATCACAGTCCCTTTCGTTAAATGACAGATTACAGAAAGTTATCTATTTCTTACAGAGACATTCTTTTAAGGGAGTGAACATAAAAATTGGGGGTCTTTTTATGATGTTTTAGGTCCGAAGATTTACGACGAGAATTTGGTCGTTATGGTCCTATAGTTGATGTGTATGTTCCACTTGATTTCTACACGCGTCGTCCAAGAGGATTTGCTTATGTTCAATATCCTTTCTTCAGATGGCTGATTAGTGAGGGGTGTTGAAGTTTGAAATTCAAGTTTATGTAAGAGGTAACATCTAAAAAGTAGTTTACTTTTGTCCTCTAATAATAAATGTTTTGTCTTCAAATTTTTGAAAATTAATTATGACTCACACATTGCTCTTAATTATTTCTTAAAGTTAATCCAAAAATAATAAAATATTTAAATTCCCATTCATGCTGCTGAAACTCAAATCAATGATTATAATATGTGATTTAAATTTGAATACACTCTGGTTGCTACCACCTTTAATGTAAGTCAAAAGTTAATATGTTCTTGTGCTTAGCAATTAAAGTTTGGTATTGTCTGTTAATTTGAATCACTTGATCAAAAACAAATTGTATAACAATGAGGTAAACTTCTTTAATATTGTCCCCTAATTTGCTGTCCTCTGTTGTTACCTCAGAGAATGTAAAGCTGTACAGTTATGGCGACCCCAAAGAGAAAGCATGAAAGAACCTTTAGAGTAGAATTCAACACTTAAGGCAAGTAGACAAGCCAAAGACCTCTTAAGGATCAGGCTTGAAGAGAAGGGAGAGTTTGGGAAAAGAAAAAATAAAGAAAAGCTGGAAGAAGGACAAGCCTAATGGGAGACAAAGCCTCGCTTTATCTACAAAAGGGGGAAAAGGTTGTTTTTCAAAGTTAAAGATAAAGCCATCTGTCATATTTGGCCAAGCATCTCATGACAAGTCCTTCTGACAAGCACTTAAAGAGTTAAAGGTCAAGATGAAGTTGAATGATGGCCAAGATTAAAGGAGTCATACCTGATGTATCCTACAGAATAACTATTTTCCTTTTTTTTTTTTTTTTTTTTTTTTTTTTTTTTTTTTTTTTTTTTAATGTTTGTAAGCAGTTAATTTTCAAAACTATTCTGGTTTGGTCTAGTGACAAAACCTGTAACTTGATTTATGTGGGCCTTTGATGTTGTGATTGTGGTCTTGTATAAATGCACTTTCTCTTAGATTGTCAAGTTAAAGTGTATCAGGATGTAATGTTGTTAAGCTTAAATTCAGCATATTTTTGTTTTGGGCCATATGGTCAGATGCTATAGGGTAATAGGCAATGCTCTTTGGAGTAGCATGAGGTTCTAGGGTCAGGCTAACTCCACAGAGCTGTGCTTAAAGGGAGACAGGTGCTTGCACTGGGACCTCCTTAGAAACAACTCTGGTGGTCTTGTAAGGTCAAATCCACTGGAGATACTACCTGTTTAGAGATTTTAAAGTGGCTGCTATGGGCACACACATACTCTTGACTTCTAAACTTAGCTCTGTGAAGTCTGCTGGTCCTGCACTGCTTTAGCACATAGGATCAGTTGGCTCTGAGTGGATTGCAGAAGGCCTTATCCCTGCTATAGGTACCTAATCAGGACCTATGGGAAGTCATTCCCTGACCCAGAGTTTTAGGTGACATTACTTCCTTCAGTGAGACAGCAAGGGTTTGGGCTGTGGGTGTCAGACTAGGAAAAGTTCTTCCTGTTAAATTCATTGGGTCTCTTGAAACTTAGCAGGGGCCCTAGTGAGACTTAGGGGAAATGCTGAAAGCTGCTATTTCTACAAAGCTAATGATCAAGGACAGTTGGGGGGATTGGTTGCAAAGTTCTGTTACAGAGAGGATAAGAGCTATATTTGGCTTGGTTTTTTGTTTGTTTGTCTATTTTTAAAAGGCGATGCTTTCTGGCTTACAATGCTGACCTGCTTTTACTTGGTTTGGGGTGGCCTGGGAACCAGGATCAACACTAGTTTGCCTCAAGAGTATGTGATACTTGAGCTAGAAGAGAGTTGTCATCTAAAGGAGGATCATGTATTTTATATACACAAAGTCTTTCTATGGTCTTAAAATAGTTAAAAAGAAGTAGGTCTCAGGATTTTGGAAAGATCCCAAGTACAGATTTCTCTATACCTAGCATCAGAGTGATATTTGACACTTCCCAATTAGGCTTCTCTTTTGTATATAGTAAAACTTTGCCATGGTTGATTCAGCTCAGGATTCTGTTTTTGCAGGTAGACCCAAAGAATGATTTAGATTTACTCTCAATAATTTTTACACCTTTTAATTTTATCCTTTAGAAAGTAATTGTATTCTGCATCCTGGGGTAATAAATAAAGTGGTATACATGTTAAGCCAGCTTTTTAATATTTTAGAGCCCAAATGCATTAACCTTGACAGGTGTTGAATTATAATAGTACTCAAGGTTCTGAACTCCCTATCAACCTTTTTCGTTTCTTGTTGAAAGTCCTATGACTTAGACTTGGGAAAACCTCTCCTCCTTTAACATATACATAATATATTCGGGAAGAGAGACCTGGGAACGGGCAATGGTCCTTAATTCCTTTCAGAATGAAAAATAGGAAATCTGGTGAGGTAGACGTTTTAGTACTTGAAATAAACAGATATTAGTATCAGTCTTGGAGAGAGTATGTCTCATCAGCACTGTTTTTTAATCAGCCTAAGATCTACACTCTTTGTCTCTCAAGTTTGAGAAATATAAATGGACACGTTAGAATAGTAATTTTTAGGATAGAATGAAAATCTACACTCCAACTTAACCTAGGTCCCTTTCCAGAGCTTTTATATCAAACACTGCTCTGATTTGCTTGGCTTCCGTCAGAATGGTGGTTTTAGGAAAGGAGCTAAATTTGGACAGAATAACTTTGTAAAGCCAAGAGTTGTCATAGTACTATTGCTGACAAGGAGGGAAGAGGGCAAGGCAGCTTCTCCAGTCAGGGTACCAGCAGTTCCTGGGTCAGGTTTATAAATGTTACCTTGAAGTTTCTCAGGTTGAAAACCAGTCCCAAATTCACTTCTTTGCAGTAAGCTATATGTCTAGTATTATGGTTAGGGCTTTTCAGTCCAGGAATCTTTAGAAATGGTCTGTTATTTCTTGACCGCATGCTTTTATAGTCTTTGCATGGGTGTAATATGCTTTTGGTGTAGCGATGTCTTGACGATTGATTGATTGATTCTATCTGATATCCTCAAATGGATAGCATACCAATCTTTCCTGTATAGTATAAGGGAGACAGCTATGTGAAATAATAGTGTTAGATATATCTGAGAAAAACAGCAAAATAAATTTGAAGTTAATTCTTTTGTAAGGTAAGGTATATTATGCTTGCTTACACAAGAACTATTGGCATTTTCTTTTTTTCTTTGAAACAAAAACATGAAAAGCAGTTTTGGTTTTATTTTAAGAAATTTTTGTTTTAGCATACAACAGAAGTGACATTTGTTTTTCTTTTTTGTTTTCTAAAACTTAAAACTCAGGAAAATTTTTTTGATAGGATTACTTGGTAGTTCAGCTATAACAGATCTTATTTTAATAATTTTATATGTTCACATGTGTTTTCAAATGTATGCTGTAGGAAATCACAAATGCTTTAATGCTGTCAAGTATCTGTAGCTGAATTAACCAACCTAAGTTAAGTGAGATCTGGATGATTTTCTAGAATAATGTTGAGAGATTGTGAAATACTCCAGACTTACCAACTGAATGTTCACTCGTTATCAAAGTATGCAAAACTTCCCAAGCCCCTTAACATTTAGCACATTTGAGGATGTACGTGATGCCGAAGACGCTTTACATAATTTGGACAGAAAATGGATTTGTGGACGCCAAATTGAAATACAGTTTGCACAGGGGGATCGGAAGAGTAAGTACCCTTATGCCTATTATACGTATAATACGTCATTTTTAAAACAGTGCTTTGATGTTTCTTATTGGAAGTATTTGCAGTTTGTCTTATTTAAAATCTAAAAAGATCTTGAAAAGATAGAGTAACTCAGATACTTTGCAGAAAGGTAGAATGTGAAAATCAGAATGACAGAAATTGGACTCTGGCATGGTTAATATTCTGGGGATGGAATTAAAAGGGAAATAATTTGGAAGGTATTAGGTCTTTTCAGCCATTTCTCTTCTTACAGATTTTCAAGGTATAATGGGTATTGTTGTTTATTTATTTATTTTTAATGTTAATTTTATTTTTGTAACAAAGAGAGCACAAGCAGGGTAGGGGCAGAGAGAGAGGGAGACACAGAATCCGAAACAGGCTGTGTGTCATCTGTGCTGACAGCTCAAAGCCTGTTGTGGGGCTTGAACCTATGAACCATGAAATCATGACCTGAGCCGAAGTCGGACACTTAACCGACTGATACACCAGCACCCTGGTATAATTGGGTATTTGTGTAGGTGTGTGGCTGTGGAAATGAACAGATAGAATTAAACAGATGATTACGGAATTACTAGAATCCGTTTTATATTAGTATGTGGTTTTATTATGCAGGCATGTACTAGGTGTTAGCTGCATGCTAATGAGGCTGGAGTACAGGCTTCAGAGTCAGGTAGACCAGGGTTTAAATTTTGGCTCAACCATTTTGTTACCTTAGGCAAGATAGTAAAAAAGATGAAGGTGCCTGGGTGGCTCAGTTGGTTAAGTGTCTGCCTTTGACTTTGGGGCTCTCTGCGCCGCCCCCCCCCCCAAATAAACGTTGAAAAAAAAATTGTTTTAAGTTAGAGGTGAAAATAGCTGCTGGAGAGAGGAGCACTCGGACACAGGCTATAATTCTCTGGCTCTTGGGTTGGGTGATGGGTCCTTCAGTATTTACTGTGTTATTAAACGCACATATGCATTTAGTATCCGTTTCATAGAATTGAATGAGATAACATAGGAATTTGAGGACTGTCCAGGGGTGTGGGTGGGTCTAAGGCATCCAATAAATGTTCACTCTTTTCTACTTTTGTTGTGATCTCAGAACCCTATATCCATATGTTACTGCATTTTGATGCTAAAGCATTGTCCATAGGTTACCAATAAGTATTTTGTCGTTGTTAATTGTGTTTCTAATAAATGAAAAACACGCAAAATAATTCCAAATTAGTATATGGTTCAAAGTCATTTTGTATTTTAATTTGGAATTTTTTTTAAATATGGTAAATTTCCTCAATTTTGAAATAGTTGGCATATTTTTATTTTATTTTATTTTATTTTTTTAACGTTTATTTTTGAGACAGAGAGAGACAGAGCATGAATGGGGGAGGGCCAGAGAGAGGGAGACACAGAATCTGAAACAGGCTCCAGGCTCTGAGCTGTCAGCACAGAGCCCGATGCGGGGCTCGAACTCACGGACCCGGAGATCATGACCTGAGCCGAAGTCGGCTGCTTAACCGACTGAGCCACCCAGGCGCCCCAGTTGGCATATTTTTAGACAAGCTAGATGGTGAAAGGTCTCTGAAAGAAAATAGTTGGGAAGATATTTGAGAGTATCATTTTTAACCTAAAACAGTATTCTTATAGACTTCCTTGGAAACAAATACCTTTTCCAAGATTAATAGTCTCACATTTAACCTTGACACAGATTGGGGGTATAAGGGAAGAGAATGCAGACATTTTCCCTATAATTTGAAGACTTAAAATACTAGGTTAGGTTTCAAATATCTCTGTTTTCTAAATCTCCGTTCTGTGTATTTCATAGCTCCAAATCAAATGAAAGCCAAGGAAGGGAGGAATGTGTACAGTTCTTCACGCTATGATGATTATGACAGATACAGACGTTCTAGAAGCCGAAGTTATGAAAGAAGAAGATCAAGAAGCCGGTCCTTTGATTACAACTATAGAAGATCTTATAGTCCTAGAAAGTAAGTTTGATGTGTAGTACAGTAATCTGTCAGAAAAGATTTGTTAGCTTTTAATTTTTTTTATCTTTTTGTACACTTTAATTATATACATTGTATGCTTCATTGAGACTAAAATTATTTTAGTGCTTTATTTTAAAAGTTTTATGGTTCAGTTTTTTTAATTAGAAACTTGAGAAGAGTGTAAATAGACATTTGTCACTGTTTGCTTTTTCTGATGTACTTTTTAGCAGTAGACCGGCTGGAAGACCACGGCGTAGCAGAAGCCATTCCGACAATGATAGGTAAATAACTTTGCTTTGAAAACGACTTCTACATTTTTCAATTTCAGAGTGAACTTTTGCTCTAAAAATAACAAATTTGATTAACATAGAATCTAATTTTTACTCTAATTGTATCTCTCCTCTGTTTTGAAAGATTCAAACACCGAAATCGATCTTTTTCAAGATCTAAATCCAATTCAAGATCACGGTCCAAGTCCCAGCCCAAGAAAGAAATGAAGGCTAAATCACGTTCTAGGTCTGCATCTCACACCAAAACTAGAGGCACCTCTAAAACAGATTCCAAAACACATTATAAGTCTGGCTCAAGATATGAAAAGGAATCAAGGAAAAAAGAACCACCTAGATCCAAATCTCAGTCAAGATCACAATCTAGGTCTAGGTCAAAATCTAGATCAAGGTCTTGGACTAGTCCTAAGTCCAGTGGCCACTGATAGTATAAACCTTGATATTTTTAGGCATGTATCATTCATTTACTCATAGTTTGGTTTACTTAAATTATCAGGAATACAATGTTGCAATGATGCTTAAAAAAACACTTGTCAGTTTTCCCTGTACCAGGCAAATGGTTATAATTAAAATGATATGCTGTTGAGAAGCCACTCTTAAGAGTCCAGTTTGTTTAATGTTATGGGCAGCTACCAATTTGTGGTGTCTCTGTATATTTTTGTAAAGATTCTCATTTTTTATGCTTGAAGTATTGGTGAAAAGATGTTGGTTGACCATAATTTGCAACATTGTCTTATTAAAAATAAACTTTCATATCCATATTTGGTAGAACTGTTAACCTAGAAATGTAGCTTGCTAATAAGATAGAATGATACAAAAGTGAGTTGTAGCCACAGTACAACACTGACTGATCAGACACATTTAGGTTCAGGGTGGACCTTTTTGTCTTGTTGAGATGTTTAGGCCCGTGATAATAATAGTTAATTTATGACAGCGTGGAATAGTTCTTTTGTTAACCCCACTGTCTTGGGGAATGATGCCAACTGGGTTAAGTAGGATTTGGGGGACGATTGAGTGTTTTGACCGAAACATGGAGCCTTCACTGCTTTTTTCTGTTTTCTATGAAGAGTTGGAACATATAAACACGGGAAGAACTCAAACCTTAAAATTTGAGCAGGACAATGATGGCAGAAATAATTTCAAGGGAAAAAAAATGCTCTCATGTAGTTACTCTAAACTTTAAGGAGCATTGTTGGTCGTATTGCTTAGTTTTCTTACTGCTGTTAAAAAAAAGCAGCAAGTAAATTGTTTCAAAGTAGGTTTTGTTTATGCATATGCATAGTGTAAAACTGAATTTTGATGCTTCTAGCACTCGGTCTGTGCGTTTGTATCAAAATTTGCCTGCTACTTTATGAAGGAGGCTTGTTCTTCACACTTCAGTTTATTTCATGTGAGGCAAGTTGAAGGAGAACACTCCCACTCTAGGTGATTCTGTGGTGCCATGAAATTTAAAATATTTTGGAAAAAGAATTTTCAGTAGGAACCTCATCTCTTTGAGTTTGATTATCAATGTAGTACCTGGCAGTACCTGACTAAAACAAAACAAAACAACAAAAAAAACCAATACCCTAACCATTTATAATTTTTAGCATTTCTCTGAGAGATCTTTTGGGGACAATAAAAGGGACATGTCCAGTCTCATTTCAGAATAAAAGCTAGCATCTTTAAAATTTTAGATTGCTTGCTTGCAGGTATAAGTAAATATTGTGGGGAAACGATTCCTTTTAGAGGATTACTTTTTTTGATTTTGGTTTTAGTAATATAGGCCTTGCCTGTAAAGAACAAAAGATGGTTTTTAAATACTGTTTGTGGAATGTGTTTAAAGGATTGATTCTAGAACCTTTGTATATTTGATAGTATTTCTAACTTTCATTTCTTTACTGTTTGCAGTTAATGTTCATGTTCTGCTATGCAATCATTTATATGCACGTTTCTTTAATTTTTTAGATTTTCCTGGATGTATAGTTTAAACAACAAAAAGTCTATTTAAAACTGTAGCAGTAGTTTGCAGTTCTAGCAAAGAGGAAAGTTGTGGGGTTAAACTTTGTATTTTCTTTCTTATAGAAGCTTCTAAAAAGGTATTTTTATATGTTCTTTTTAACAAATATTGTGTACAACCTTTAAAACATCAATGTTTGGATCAAAACAAGACCCAGCTTATTTTCTGCTTGCTGTAAATTAAGCAAACATGCTATAATAAAAACAAAATGAAGGAAATAATGATTAACTGGAATTATTATAGTTTTGAATGAGATTCTAAAATAACAGTGGAAACAATCCTTTGTAGATTTAGGAATATTTTTAATCACAGTGTTGCACTAGGCACAACTGACTTTTACTTTGGAAATGATAGAACTTGCCAGAAAGGTACATCTTTTATATACTACTTAAAAATTCCTTATGTAATGTCAAAGTTGTTTCATGATTGCTAATTAAGCCCCTTGGGTTAAATAACTTAGAGATTATTGGTAGTATTAAGTATTAAAATGAAATTTGAGTCAGCTAAATTGTAAGTTTATATTTTCATTATTGAATGGACCAATAATTCTGCTCTTCCTTGTCCTAAACAAGATGCGTTGGGCCTTATATTAATGGCTTGATTTTAAATATGTTTGCATTGAATGTCAGTGAGCAGTTAGTATATTAAGTGATAACCACGTTGGGGAACTGATTTAGGTGTTTTATGGTTTGAGTTCTAGCTACTTATAATGACAACGATAGCCAATACTTAGCATTTATGATGTGCCAGACACGCTACTAAAAATTTTGTGTTAACTCATTTATTTTTCACAAAACCCTTTGAGAAAGATATTGATTTACCCCATATCGTAGATAAGGAAATCGAGATACAAAGAAAAGGCTGTAAAAAAGGCAGATGGAAGCTTTGAGCCCAGGCCTGGTCCTTCGTGACTTTTTTTTCTTTTTGATGGACTGTAATTTGAGAGAGATAGATTGAGGAGGTGGATAGCCCATTGAAACTGTTCTCAGTCTTTGTGTAGAAATAGAAGGCCTGATGACTTCATTTTTATTTATTTGTGTCACTTAAAATGACTCACATGGTTTCCTTTAGAACTTTTTGTTACTCCTAAAGTGACCTACCTAATGAGCTTCAGAAGGACTAAATTATAGTTGAACCCAGGATAGGATCCTGCTCATAGTTGATGAGGATCCTTACACAGTGCTTTAATTTTGGGCTACTTAGTTCCACAGTTCTGGAGTATCCACTGTGTGTCTGGCACTGTTGTCACTATTAGAGTAGATCCTATCAAGACGCAGTGAGGACTGACACTTCACCTCTCTTTTTACTTAAGATCTCTCTGCATTTTGTTCTGTTTTGTTTTGTTTTGAAGCCAAGTAAGCAAGAAGAAAAATGACAGATAATGCTTCAGTGAGAAAGGGAAGGTGCTACATAGAGTATGAGCTGTTAAGTTTACAACCCAGGGAAAAGACCTGGGAACTATTGTACTATTCTCTTGCAAATTTGGCCCAGTAAGCTGCTACATCCAGTTCAACTAACAAAATCCTGTATACCACAGAGAAGAATAAAGAAAACCAAACTGACAAACATCCTTCTTTTATTTAAGACCAAACTGCAGCTGGAATACCCAGTACAGTTCTGCTTACTACACTTCAAGAAAGATCTGAGAAAGCGGAAAAAGAACCAAAGAAGGGCAGTTCAAGCGACCAAAGGGTGGGTGGAAGGTGCTGCAGTATGAATACTGTACGAATATTTTGACTCTGGTCTGAAAAGATAAAAGAATGTTATCGAAACTACATGGAATAATTGAAGTCCCTTCAAGTTTGAAAGTAAGCATTTTAGGACAAATAAAAAGAAATTCAACTTTGTACTTGTGGAAACTAATCCCTAAATCTGAATAGGTTTATATTGATTCGTGGGTAACAGGTCCATAATAAACTATTGGAAACTAGGATGTTTGAATATCAAGGAAGACAGCCATAGTCTCTTACAGTGCCTCTATTGGTCTGTCTCAAACTGAATTGGGTGAGAAAAGGTATGGTCCAATATAAACTTTTTCTTGGTTATCTCTTAAAGTCAGTTCCATTTTCGCTATTGGCAAATCTTGCCTTTGTTTATTCCAGTGCCAGTGTTTTTCTGCTTAATGGTTTGCTTTGTTGGCATCTGAGTTTATTTACTTGTATGCCATGTGCAGTTTACATCTTACACTCTCTTTTCCAGATAAATTCCAATTAGAATACTTGACATCTAGCTAAGAGGGTCCATCTCTTCTCACCTCTGTCCTAAGTCAGTATATTCAGCAAACATTTATTTACTGAGCCCTTACTGTGGGCAAAAATTGTCCTGGGTAATCGGGGAGAAAAATAGAGAAAATTGACTTAATAAATACCTACTGAGCACAATCTAGTCAATCATTACAGTATGGCCTCATTGTTTTGAGGTGTATTTTTCGTAACGATATTTTACACCATTCATATCTTAATGTAATTATAAAACCCAGAATACTATCAATGATCATTTTGTGGTTATCTGCCATTTAAAAGTATCCAGTATTTCTGTTTGCATCCCATTAATACAAATAATGAAAAAATGATGTTTTAATCTGTAATAAACTGATTCATTGTGCAGTGACTGTAATATACTAGAGTTATATTAAATTGTTAACTCTGCCTCCTCAAACACACATTAGGAAATAATCCCAAAAATAAGTAACTTTGCATTAGATCTAAAGGAGACTCTGGGTGCTATAATTAGATTATTTTGAGGCAGACAGAGAGCTGTTATCCCAACTGATTTAGTGTGTTCTGTAATTGAGAAAATGTTCACCAGATTATACTTTTTAGTGATTTACTTGTACATTTTATAGGGGACATGTTCTGTGTATAGTGAATAAATAACTTTTATAGTATCACAAAAATGTTTTGGATTCCTTAGTTCCTTATTAGGATATTAAGTTTGTTTATACATTGATTCTTCCATCACTCATACTTGATTTTTGTCATTTCTGCCACATATTTTAAGTTGTTCGTGTGAAGTTCTTCATCTAAAAGTATGGAAGTGTTTAAGCCTTTACAAAAAAAAAAATTTGAAAGTTGCAGAATATACATAACGGTTGGAGATATGAAATGTAGGTATTTTTATCCGTTTGATTAAAAAATTTTTTTTCAAACTTGCCTAAGATCACACAGCAAGTGGCAGATCCTGTGTTAGAGTTAACGGTTTTTTTATTTGGTTCCTGTTTTGTGCCTTTTTTTTTAATCAAATGGAAGATTTTTTATAACTTACTAAAATTAATATAATGGAATCTAGAGTTCATGCAGAGGGAAGATTTAATAGATTTATGAAAAAGATTTAATATCAAAAAGTATTTTCTTTGTACTTTGTGGATGAAAAAGAGGTTAAATGTAACCCAAGATCTCAAGCTATTGTGACTCAGGCTCTCCATCCTGGCTTTCCAAATTTCAGTCGCATTGTATTGCATTTTGACCATATTCTTGTTTACAAAATCCTGAGATACTTTGAAAGGAGGCTGTGATTTGAGACAGCACAATGATAGTGGAGGAATAATCTTAATGGCATTTCTACCAGGTCAGAGCTTTTAGGAACAAACTGTTGTCATTGATAAATGAAGTAAGCAACCTGTTTTCGTTCAACTATTGACATAGTTACTATAGAAAAATTTCCTTCTCCAGGGTTTTTGTCTCTGCCCCTTCCTCCAACAGTGTTGGTTATTATGTTTATTGCATTGTGTTTCTGTGTATTCCTAACGGCTGTTTCACCCTTATTAAAGTGGGAATATCTTTATTTGGAATAAAAAGCAAGGCATGTAAATTCCTTTCATTGATAATTGACAGAGTAGTTTGTAAAGAAGTAAAAGGCCTTTGTGTCTAGTTTTTGTAGATCCACATCTCTTTTGAATGCTAGAGAGTGAAATAAACAACTGGTCTAGGAGCCAAACAATTTGGGGTTTCCCCCCCCTTCTCTTTTCCTTAGGTTTAACTCTGCCCCCCAGGTTTGTGGCTGGGTGGGCTTTCCTCATTTGAGTAGGAGGCTTGAGAGATGTACTTTGTCCCTCCTGTTTTGCAAAGTAATTGCCAATGAGAATGCAATTAAAGAAACCAGAAAACTTACCCAAACCTTCAGTTTTTTTTCCACTTTGTGCTTGCTTTTGGGAAGAATAGAACTTAACCAACCAGAAATTAGATGTAAGGATAGGTTACAGTTATTCTATCATACTATACACTGCCATCAAAAAGATGACGACAAATTTAAACATGAACATTGACTGACTTAAGATTCACGCTATGGCTGACTTCAGCCTTAGAGGATAGGTTGTTTCTAAAACAACTTTTTGGTTCTCACAACTACAATGGTTAGGGAATTTCTGTCACTATAATTCCTGTAGGCTAACCAAAACTATTAGTACCTCTCTGGGATGTGCGATGTTGAAATCATTAACCTTTTCTTTAGGTTACCCTTAACTTTTAAAAACTTCAGTTAGAAGCCTTTTCTACACCCACCCTCAAGTCTGAAAAACTAACCACTGGAGTCCATCCCAAACCAAACACCTAATACTGCATAAATCCAGAATTAACACACTTAGGCTGAGAACTGTTAAATCTAGTGAAATTCCACTGGTTATAGTAAAGAATTTGACAGTCCTTGGCACTGCCTGTAGACATTACACAGAGAATAGGGGGGGAAATTTTTACTTCCTCCAAATCATTTATTTCCTGTGGTTTGCATGATAAAGTAATGGCCTTGCCGTGGTAACAACCTATTCTTGAACTAGTTTAAGCTACCCCTATCTCTTGGAACATATGGAGTATTCTGATGCCTTAACCCCCCCCCCCCCCAAAGCCTCCTGGTGAAAATTATACTTTTACATAGGAACATATGTAACCGTTCTTGTCAATTTGAGGAATGTTGTTTTCTATAAACCTGTCATCTTAGAATGTAGAGAAAAGGGAGAGATGCAGGGAATTAAACCTGGTTTACTCTCTTGAATTAGAATCTTAGTTTCCAAAGTATGCTGTGTCCTTTTACTGTTAGCCCTGCTTCGGGCGGGGCTGGTCATAAACAGGTTTAATTGTATAGCTGTTGAACTGATCCAAATGTGTCTATCAGTTGGCAGATTGGTTGCCTTGCAAAAACCAGCAGTCCTACCATTTCTTCAGTTGGATTATGAGTGCGTTAAAAATAGTCGTAATTTTTTACAAAATACAAACCAACCACTGGGGGGGAAGAAGCAATTTTATTTTTTAATTTCATGCTTGAAATTTGCATATGTACATTAAGTACTATGTAAACTTGTCTTTAGAATACCATTATTTGATTTGGGCAATATTAACTCATCTGAATTTACTTGGAGAAATACAACTTCACCCTTCTTCTTTAAGTCAAAAGCTGCCAAGTTAGAATAGGGCACCTAAAATCAGAAATTTTAAATTGACTCTCCCACACACATTTGTAATTCACTATTGGGTTAATTTATATTTAGGTAAAATATGTTATCAAGTTACGCAAGAAATTACATCTTTTACATTAAGTGGTCCCCTGGGTTGCACTTACTAGTAACAAAAAATATATATACTGGCATCATACACTAAACTATATTCATGTTATAGATTACAAAAATTATTAAAAGCCAAAATGAATCTTTAAGGTTGGAGGGACCTTTTCATGGTTAGTCTTTGGGCTTAAGGAGGAAAAATTAAAATAGTCCCATACTGCATTTCACATCTCTTAAAAATAGGAAGTGTTTTAGCAGCTTTAAAAACCTTTTCAGTTATATAAAACCTATTACACTAGGGTTTACTTTGAAATATAGTTTACCACCAGATCAATTATACATACACCGGCACTTTAGCACAAGGGCAAACCTTAAAAACAAATTATTTTGGACCTTTAAAATCAGGCCATAGCATAAAAAACAAGAGTCATGGTCTTACATTCAGCAAATTCATACTAAAATATTCTATTTTTATAGGATAAATGCCAACAAAACTTTACATATGCTACAAGTTTATTACATATATTTACATGGCTCTTTCCTAGGTACTTAAAACTTTCACATTATACAGCTCCCCACTTAAGTAAGCTTTGCAGGGATAACTTTTGAGACCAGATCACTGTCAGAATAGCTTATGCAGTGCTGGAATACAAAAAATGTATTCTGAAAGCTACTCAGTGACCACCAAATACTGTTTCTATAAAAACTGGTTTTGGTGCATTAGTTGGCAGACGCTTATCCACTCACTGCATGAAAGAAATGGCCATTGGGGTATATGGTCTCATTCTAAATTAGACAGCCACGAGTGCCCTTTCTACATTCACCAGCATACAGTTTACTAAAATGCAACCATTCTCTAAGAAAAAGTCACATTTTCTTTTTGGCAGTGCATAGGATTGTTGGCATATTATTGGTTTGGGTGTTTCTAGGACTTTAAACTTTCAAATACTCAACTACTTAGTCCCTGTATGTCTTAACTAGATGCTTAAAATCAGATTCACTAGCTTTCAACAGGTCAATCTAGTGATCCATGAATGATAATCTTAAATTAGTATTTTCACCCAACAGATAGGAAAAGTTGATTACCATTCCCCAAATCTTAAACCACTTAAGTTACTCAGTTGAGAACACTTAATATCAAGTACTATGATGAATAATTTTGTTATTTTAAGTTGCACTGATCCCACCATCACATCACAGTGCACACAACACATAAAACAAGTTAAGATGAAGTCTAATTAGATTTTCTACATTAATTAGCAATTTTACACAAATCGATTAGTTCCCTAGTGAATTTGGTCTGAAATAATTGACAACTACCCTCCAATATAACTAAGTTTAAATAGTATTTTATCTTATACCTGTACTTTAAGTAAGGTTTTAAGTTGAAATGTCATTATTTCCTTATCAGAAGGATTAAAGGAAACTGGAACCCAGTGGCTTGGTGGTTTAGGGAGAACACTTGGTGATGGTGGCTCACTAAATTTGGCTCCAGCATAGTTCTGATTAGTTTGAGACTTAAAAAGTAAGCTAGAACTTGATAAGCTAGAGTTCCAGTTTTGATTATTTGGAAAATTTTTGTTCTTCCCCCCATTTTGCATGGCCTGCCGTGCAGCTGCTGAGGAGGTGTAAGTATGTCCCCTTTCTTTTTTCTTATGAACAATCTTCATCTGGGAATTCTGATCCTTGGTCTTCTGTCTATTAAGCTGTTGCTGGTTCTTACTAACATTTCTCGATTGAGGGGCTGGAATGTTATACCTCTCTCCACCACCCATCTTCAGCTTCTTTGTCACCTGCAAGTAAAGGGAAA